GCCCGGCGTGTGATTATAAAATAATTCATTAAAATAATAATAAAATATTAACTTCGCTGTGAGGCACCTAAAGGTCCACATGTAACTGCTGAGGGTCCCTCCCTGGTGCGCAGAGCTCTTTGACGCGCAAACAGTTCGCCCTGTTTCAGTCTTAAACGTTGCGTTAACAGCCTGCTAAAGCTACAACCTCTGAGCTGCACATGAAATCATTTATTGGCATACACGGAAAAGAGTATTAAGGTCTGCAGTTTGTTTGTTTCATTGAGCGTTCAGCCGGTACTCTGCTACACGGTGCGTCTGGATAGTGGCTTGTGGCTGCAGGGAGGTATGATGGAGACCCCCCCCCCCCTCCAGCAAGAGAGAAAATACTAGTTTACATGTCTTCACTCATGTATAAATACTCTACCTGCAAACAACAACGATGCAAAGAGACTTAATACCAACACTAAACCATGCACTGTTTTTTTCCTTAAGTCTCTGGAGAAAATGGCACGATTGGTGTAAGCGGCGCATTCTTAATATTTAATTTTTTATATTAGATTAAGAAGCTTAAAGATGCTATTCTGGCCTTTAACTTTGTACAACTAGCATTTTAAATAGGAGGCCTAAAAAACATTTTTGTTCGAGCTCCATAGCCGCAACAAATAGTCTTCAAATGAGCTCCATTCAAATTCATTAGTTCGTGCGTCAAATATCCCACAGATATTGTAATATTTCTATTATTTTGTCGTTTCCTTGTGGAAAAACAAAACATATTATGGTGAAAATAGTGAACTCACGGGCGTCGCTTGCATTCAAATATAAAGTGCCTGTATCTTAATGGGTTCAGCCTTTTAGCTACAACAAGCAAAAACAAAACGAAAATAGGCGCAAAATTTGATTATCGGCTATTAAACCTTTACTAATAAATAATCCAAATATGTTTATGAAAAAACAGCCGATCAGTCAACTGGAAGCATTTGATTTTTTCATTGGGTAGAATAAAAAAAAAATTTGATTTTTCGAGCTTTGTTTGGTTACGTTTAAAAAAAATAAAGCATAATCTGCTTTTACAATACACGTGGTTTCATAAGATCTAGACTAAATATATATGTGAATTCTTAATAGAACGTATGCTTTATGATTTCTAATTGATAATTGGTCGTGTCATAATACTTAATAGTTGGAAGTAACAAGCAGGGATTGAAAAGTAACAAACACTTGTAGGCTTTACAGGACTGCAAAACGAATGCAAATTCGAAATAGCGCGTGGAAAATAATCCTACACGGTTTAACTGAATCTCAAACGGACACATTTTCGCTTCAATAACCCTAATCTGTCATTCACAGTTCATCGCTTGCACTACAGCTAATTCTGAAACAACATTTCAATCTCAGATTTACAAGATATGAGTCAGACACGCTGAGCTCAGGTCCGTGAGGCTGCAAACACACCCTTCAATCACATGCACATCAGCTGGGTTCCACCTGAGTGCTGAAAAGCACACACACAACATCAGCACCTGAACTGCTCAGAGAGCAAAACCCATGAAATGATAGATAGTTCTAGAAATCACAAAATGCATGTCAAAATACATCCCCAGCTCTAAAGTGACAGAAAACAAAAAAGAAAACAGCAAAGGTGACTTGTCCTTTTAGTGGAACTGATGACAGCAACACTCTCTAAAAATAAAAACCCATTTGCAACCAGACAGACTTGTAAATATCACCTTGCTCAAAGATGCCAGGGACGCACAGACCAGCCTAAAGAATTGCATGCACTCTTGTGAAACGTCAGGGCTTTGCACCTGGTGTGTTGTCTTGCTACTGCTGAACTGGCGGTCGGCCATACCCCCATGATGTTTCTCCCCTTTAATGGGGATTCAGGCCTGATCTCAGGGGCTAAGCTAAACCTTTCCTGTAATAGCACGGGAGGTTTTTTTTTTTGCAGGATGGAGTAGAGAGGAGCGATAAAAATGGGTCTTACGGCGCTTACAGCTGTACAGTCATCAGGACATTGTTTCGCTCCAAGGTCATTGAGTTAAATACTCGTAGCTGCGTCATCCCGTTTCAAGGCCAAGTTGAAGCAGTGGAGACGGGAGGGGTCGGGATAATGAAGGAGAGGCTCGAGATTTTTAATTCTCCTCCAGCTTCTGTGGAACGCGGTGCGCCTCAGCCAGCGGCAGACTGAGCGTCCACCAAACCCATTCATGCGCCATTCTGACACACACTGAAACACTTTTTGCATTTAAAAAAAGAAGTGTGCAATTCTGGCAGCTCTGCTCTGCCAGGGCCATGGATTGGATTACATGCGTACTGCGCACGCTCCATGGTCAAGTTCAAGTTGGGCTGGCTAGTAAAACTGAGGGGCGCATTCTGCAGTGTCTGCCGCGGGGGGCGCTCCCCCTCTTTGATCTCTCCTTGCAAAAAGTGGAGACACCGAGGCAGAGCCGAGACTTCAGTCCAGTTTTCTGTTCCTCTGCCTCAGAGAAATGTGCAGCTTTCAGACTTAACTCTTCCAAGATGCAACTGCCTTGTACAAATTTCATCGTATGAATATGAAGGCGATTCCACAATCAGCAAACTCTCCAAACCCATCTTCTGTCCTTCGCTATCTAAAACACACACAATAAAAGTGACACTACTGTAAAGCCGCAAGGTCACTCATCTGTTGCGCAAAAGCCTCTCTAGGTGTTATCTCCGGATGATCACAAGATCCCATCTGCCCTGGCCACGACCCATTGCACAACTCCTGCTTAGAAGAAAAAACATGGGATCTTTGCCACCTTGGGGCGGTTAAATGAAACACTGCATGCACCAATTCCTTGAGATTTTAAAGTAATCCAAGAAAACGTTTTAGTCGAAATATCTGCCCACGCAGCCTCAATGTCACACAAACTCCAGGAATACAAAATACTGACCAAAATATTGATCTATAAGATATTGTGACAGATTAACTCGAATTTATCAGTGTACATCATTTCAGTTAAACTATTACAGGCTATATAGATCTCCAGGCCCATGACTTCTCCCTCTGTACTGAAATGAAACAAATCACAGTCTCCCTTTCCCTCTGACTGAAGATATTTGGTTCGCCTGAGAAGCTCCTTCAGTATGCAACATTTCCAGTTATGGCATATACGCACAGACATTTGTTTGAAACGTTACTGATATTGAAAGTTATACAAGTTGAATCAGTTGGTAGCTTTGGTTAGCCTAGTTATTTTAGTTTGGGGGTTTCAGAGCCCAAAGAGGAAACATCAAGTAGTCAGAGAGAGACTTTTTCCTCCAGCAGGCCAGATGAGAGAGTCGGGGGAGAGAAAGCCAAAGGAATTTCCCTCAGTGCTGTGCTGCCGGGCCGGGAGGGAGGGGGAGGGAGGGGGAGGAAGGGGGAGGCGGCCGTCGCTCGGGGCCTTTTACCTCTTTCGGACAGGCGAGGGCGCACAAGGACAGCGGAGGCTCCATCCTCTGCAGCCTGCCCCCGTTCTCTCTTTTACTCTCCGTGAGACCACTCGACTGCACCTCCCCTCACAGTTATTATACGCAACTTAAGTGAACCGCCACGCACTATGCCCTGTAGCTGCAGATCCCACATCAGTTTTTAAAAAGGAAAATGATGGAGTCTTTTAGTGCCGATATCAGGTGTGGACGAGTTACAACCTTGATTCCACAGAACAAATACAGTGGAACAAAATGTCTCAAATTAAATGACAAATGATTAATAAAGGAAACACTAAGGGGTCATAATGTCTTATTTCTTCAATGATAGATCCAATTACATTCTAATATCTATACAACTTAATTAACTTAATTAATCGGGATCAATAAATTGTCCATCTTATTGAGTATAAGATGGAGTATAAGTATATATAGTAGTAAGTATAGAGTCACTTCTGAACATTTGTCAGTTCATGTTGTGTTATATAGGAATACTTGGAATACAGATGAGCTGAGGTTGATCACATGTTTAAGAGACGTCACCGTCGGACGGCTTCCTGCATGTGGACATCGTGTAAACTGCATCCTCCACGGTTCAACAACATCAAGCGTGTAATGAAGTCAATTTGCTGCAAATCGCATTAAATCCAGAATTAGAGCTTCTTGCAACCATAAGAAAACGAGGAGCATAAGTAGGCCAATTTTTCCTGCTCCAACTAAAAGAAAGCACAAGGCATTTTATATAGAAAGTCTCCATTAATTCTTCTTTTTTTTTTTTTTTACTATAAAACTGTATTATTAGAACTGGGAAACTGCTCCTACCCTGAACGTATGGCTGCGAATTGCTGAAGTTCTGTCATAGCATGGAAATGTCGAGGTTTAATTCTTAGCTTAGTGGGTAATGGAGATATTTCTTATTTTGTTGCAAATTAACAATTAATTAAATCTCTATGAGTGGTATATTTTACCTACATATAACGGTGGGCTTTGTAAGCCGTACAAGACAGACATGATGAATTGAGGTTTGTGTCTGGCTGTCTCTTGTGCTCTGTTGACTTTAAAGACTTCATGTCAAATGGCTTTTTATCTAAACTCTGACCACTAGGCTTGACCTCTGAGGACTCAACTTGACTCCACTTAAGGTGAGAATAAGAGGGACACGGCAGATAAGAGAGGAATGAGGAGAGGAGGGTAAAAAGACTAAATTGAGGCAAATAACTCATTTATTGTCAAATTTGCTCAATATTAGTATGAAGTATTAATATTTTATATTATTGTCGTTTATATATAGATTTGTTTTAGATAGATACAGACAGATGCGATTTCTTGTTTCGTCGCTGCTTGTTGTACCATTCTGACCCCCCCCCCCCCCCCCCCCCCCCCCCCCCCCCCCCCCCCCATTACCTCAAGGCTGCCATTGCGCCTTCTGTTTACCCATACATCCAATCAATGCGTGTCGTCATCAGGGGGGGACCCATCATGACGACTGGCCTATTAAGAATGACAGCTCCGGGAGTAGAAAGAGAGAGAGAGGGTAAATGGTGATCCCTCCCAGAGCTCCCTCTCCGCACTCTGAAGCGCTCTCCTCTCAGGGTCAGACCGGATTGAATCCCCTTCTTTTCCAGAAGCCTCTCCTTCTTCTCCCTAGGACTAACCCCCCCACCCACTAACATACACACACGCAGGCACACACCCCTCCAACCTGAAAATCATCGCCTTGGTTTTTGACGGCTTGTGCTCTCCGAAGTCGAGGGTTTCTAAAAGTCGTGCCTGTGATGGAAGGCAGAGAGGAGATGGTGATGCTGGCGGAGGGAGGTCAGCTTGGCAAGAGCAGCTCTGCTAATTTGTCGGAAGCCATCGGAAACCCCGGGCGAGAGCCGCAAGGAAAGCAGAGCCACAGAAGCTGCCTGAGCCCCGGCGCTGCGCCCTACTCCCGGGACAGGACCGAGCTGGCGGCGCAGGAGGAGAGCGCACGGAGGAATATGTGCGCCGCCGACGTGAGGCCAGTTGGCTCATCCTCCACCGGAGAGAGGCACCGGACTGATCACCCCCACAAAGACGGCAGCAGCTCGGACACAGAGTCGGACTTCTACGAGGAAATCGATGTGAGCTGCACGCCTGAGAGCATGGACTACCCAACAGCGAAAGGTGCGTATAGAGGCTGTATTCTGGAGCTGCATGCCACTGCAGGTTTTCTGTGATTGCATGATGTTGCTTAATGAGGGTGGGTGGATGCCAGCGCCTGAATGAGGCTGTAACGGTAAAAAACTGCCACATGCATGCAGAGCCATTGAAAAGTTACATATGACGATGAACAAAAAATTAAAATGCTCAATTAAATACAGTTTATCCCCCATGACAATAAAACACATGTATAGCTGCAGGCAACGCTGCACAGCTGTTCTGTCAAGTGTCCAATGTGGCTGGAAACATGCTGAGGTGACACCCACAGTCTAACCAGACATTTCCCCCCTCTGACTTTGACAAAGAGCCACTCGCAAATCTGACCATGCGTGCATTACAGGCATGAAGAAGAGGACAGGATTTTATTTAAACCTCAAGCTAAAATGTGAAGAAAAGGCCACTAAGATGGAAATTATCTGAGATTTCATTCTGGCATCTTCTAGAGACCATTTGCAACAAATATGTCGCATCCTAAAACAAAATTGTATGAGCTCGTTTAGTCAAATTAATGAAAATATTTGAGTCCATGTGTCACATGCTAAAATAAATAAGAGCAAAATGAATGTGAATATGAATCTCTCAGTAAAGTGTAGTTGCTTTTTGCCTCAGAGTGTGCAACGGATGACAAACAATGCAACTTGATCATTCACATTTTAAGTAAACAAAAATTCAGATTTTATCAATAAACTCTGGAAAGTGATGAAAATATCAGCAGCTACCTCACAAAAAATATAAGAACTGAGCTCGCTGAGCTAAATGTCAGCAAGGCCTTTTAATATTAAAATTAAATCAATGCAGAAATAATGAAATTAGTCTTCAAATGTCAACTCAAAAAATGGATATTCACTACGAAACGAATGAAGAAAATGAAAAGTCTCCGTGTGTTTCTGTTGCATCTAAATGACTCTACTGGACAATATTAATTATGAAGGAATTTTTTTTCTGCATATCTATTCAGGTAGAAATGGAGATTCTCCTGGGCACCCGAGCGACATTGGTGTTGACCCGGGTAAAATCGTCCCAGGTCAGGGCTCTCTGTCCTACTCAGCAGACCAGATTCGCCGGTACCGGACGGCGTTCACCCGGGAGCAGATCGCGCGGCTGGAGAAGGAGTTTTACCGGGAGAACTACGTGTCCAGGCCGCGGAGATGCGAACTGGCGGCTGCATTAAATCTGCCTGAAACCACCATCAAGGTAAGACGACTGGAGGTCTAAGGAGCAGTAGGCCCCTGTGGCTTGAATACATGCTCATATTATGTGAGCTTGTATTTTTACAGATAAAACTGCTGAGGTTCAAACCGTTATGCGTTTTAATAGCTAACCGGTCACGAAGGAAACTAAAGAGAAACATCACCATAAGGTCCGATAAGCTAGAGACAAAGAAAACGACCAGCATCATGTTGAAAAGACTAAACCCTCCAGACGCAGTGTTTACCTCAGAGGAGACCTGGATCATTTTTTAACAAATATTTATTTTATTTATCAACTGACACAATAAACCATAAACTGCAGTACATCTTATTACATTTTTCCCGTGCACTCTAACGCGTAAAAAAACAAATCTGTGCGTAAAAGCGGAACTAGCCTATTGTTGTTGAAACTGGGGCTGGCCTCTCTATAAATGGCTGTTCTGGTGGTTAATATTTGACCCGCTGTGTCTCTGTACCAGGTGTGGTTTCAGAACCGCAGGATGAAAGACAAGCGCCAGCGTCTGGCCATGACGTGGCCTCACCCCGCCGACCCGGCCTTCTACACATACATGATGAGCCACGCGGCCGCCACCGGGAACCTGCCCTACCCCTTCCCATCCCACCTGCCGCTGCCTTACTACTCCCACCTGGGTGTCGGTGCTGGCTCGGCTCCGGCCGCCACTCCTTTCTCCAACCCACTGCGCTCCCTCGACAGTTTTCGGATGCTGTCCCACCCTTACCAGAGGCCGGAGCTCCTGTGCGCCTTCAGACACCCCTCCCTGTACCCGGGGCCGACCCACGGCCTCGGTCCCGGGGGAACCCCATGCTCCTGCCTGGCCTGTCACTCCAGTCAATCCAACGGGCTCTCGACCAGGCCCCCTGGCTCGGACTTCGCCTGCTCCCCAACCAGCAGGACTGACGCTTTTGTCACTTTCACGCCCTCAGTGCTCAGCAAATCTTCATCTGTGACATTAGACCAGAGGGAAGAAGTGTCCCTGACCAGATAAAACCAAAACAAACAAAACTCTTGCTCTATATTCGCCTTTACCATGAGCTTTTTAAACCTAACATATTATATGACCAGGAATGAAACAGCATGAAGAGGTAGCCTGTAAGCAGTGAGAGCCAGCTCAATCTTGGGGCAAGAAAATTAGCCAGATCTTCAGATACGTGACGCACAACAGATCTTCCATTACTAAAAAAATCATAATAATCCCGCTGCAGAGCAGGGACACTGGGATGAAATATAGCGGCATGGACACAAAACCAGATTTGATTTTTAGAAGATTAATTTGATGTGCAAGAGAAGAGGGAATCCTGTGAAACGTTTAAATCTCCGTGATGGATGGCGTTAAGGTTTTTATCATCACTTGTCTCTTTACGCGTCCAAATCGACCTACATGTACGGTTAGAAACTGGGGGAAGGATGCTTTCCATCCCTCTTCTTTTAACAAGGGGATTTGTTAACAGACTGCGGTCGTCTCATTATAAGCAGCTCTCTACACCGGGGCCCTCTCCGCGGCAGCACCGGGCCGAAATGTGCAGATGCAAGTGAAATTAGTGCGTGATGTATATGTACGACCCGGTGAATTTTGAGTGTTGAATTAATGGTAATACCACGAAGGAAGGGAGGAAGAAAGGAAGGGATCGTTGCTGCCAAAAGGTAACAAGGCGCCAAGGGAACGGATTACTACAGCCCGCATGGATTGAAGAGGAGGGAGGAGGGAGAGTTGTACCCAGAAGAGGATGGAGAGAGGGAGGACAATCAAAATTGGAAAAATGAAAATGTCTATTTAAAAATGGGCCATCAAAACATCAAACTTCTCCTCCTTGCCTCTTAGGAGCCAGTTCTTAAATCTGATGAAAATGTGATTACATTATACGCCTATAGGCCTCTTATTCTATTTTTTCTCGCTTTGCACTGCTGCAGTGGCACCATTTTAGTGACATTTCATTTAATGGAGAAAGCGGACTAAGAAGTGACATGATTATGTTTTATTTTATTCAGTTTTTGGTCCTTTTTTGGCTGGGTTTGTCCTCAACGTTTAATTTGCAATAAACACTGTCAAAGAATCAATGGAGCAACGGAGTCTGTCTTATAAACACCTCTATCATTCTGGGGGGGAAGAGCAGGTTTCAGAAAATCTTTGTGTGACTTTAATTCAAGAAAACAAAATAAAAAACAAATTAAAGCAACTTCTCTCCTTTTCATATGGGTCATTTCGTTTTATTTTCGTTTGGCCGAGCTAGAGCCTGGATTTTTCCATCCAACAGCTTCACCATTCCTCTCCAATAATAACACTAATTCTCTTCTCAAGTGGCCGGTGTCAAAATACCAGTGGCCCCCATCCGTCCTGGTGGGACCGTTAGATTGACCGTGACAGTTAAGTGGTCCCCGGGCTCCGTTAACGCCACTCATATTTTCTCGGCGACCGCTTAATAGACGCGACAGAATTACTTGTCTGAAGATATTAGAGATGCAAAGAGATCGATGATTCAGGAAGTGGGAGGGGGCAGGCGTTACCAATCAGATGGGATCTTAATTGGCCGCATTTGACCTGGGCTGCGCAAATTACTCTAATGAAATGGGGGCTGGCTGTGGCCCGCAGACACACACAGACATCACGTTTTAAAAAGGAAGATAAGGATAGATTAGAAGTTATTGCAATACTGCTCGGAGAAATGTCTACTTTAGCGTGCATGGGCCCTGAAGTCCAGATGCGTCATTGGAGCTAATCCAACAAGAAACACTGCAAAAATAGCCAAAGTTTGATGAAATACTGAGACACACGTTTTAAAACAAAGGATGTTTGGGGTCGTGGATGATAGATGGAAAGTCATTACAATAAAATTCGAAGAAATGTCTGACATTTAGCTTGCATTGGCCGTAAAGTCCAGATGCGTAACTGGAGCTATAATTCCACAATAAACGCTGCAAGAACAACAACACAATTAAGATGAACTACTGAGAGACACACACTTGTTTATTAAAAACGGAGGTCTGGGGTCTTGGATGATAGACTGAAAATGATTGTAATAAAGTTTGGAGAAATGTCTGGAATTAAACGTGTCATAGCCGGATGCTTAATTGGAACTAATCTAACGGTAAACACTGCAAGAATAAGACGTTAGATGACACTTATCACGTTTTTAAATATTAGAGTTTGGGGGTCGTGGATGATGACAGATCAGAAGTTGTTGCAATTGTTTTGAGACATGTCTTTAGCGTGCATTGGCCCTTAAGTATAAATTCGTAATTACATAAATCCAGATATCTAATTGGTGCTAATCTAGCGCCGAGAAACACTGCAGAAATAGGATAGTTTAATGGAATAATGCGACACATGTCACCCTTTTGAAGGAGGGCACAATGGTGGGGATAGATCAGAAGTTATTGCAATAATATGGGAACACATATCAGGCATTTAGCGGGGCCTATAAGGACCAAATGCGTAATTGGAGCCAATTTCACAAGCAACACTGAAATACTGTCCCATTTGAAACTTAAACTAGATGAGTTACTATGTTCCAGCATGTAAACGGAAGAATAATTTACACAACACCTTCAGTTACCTCTTCAAAATGGAAAAGATGGGAAAGACATCAGACATGTCCACAAAATCGGTAGATTTTCATCATCCTTAAACTCTATCTCAGGTAAAAGATTCATCCTAATCACAGTGTCACAAACACACACACACACCAGATGAGCCCCCCTCCCTCCATCCCTCCCTGCAGTACAAGGGTTTGATTGATGGCCTTATTAACTGGAGTTCTTGTAAGTGTGACCGAGCTGATTAAAATGCATATGTTTGGAATAATACACCGTTTAAGCCGCGCGGGTCGGGGCGAAAGCACAAGGCAGATTTATGTAAACTATCAGGCGGTGTCTTTAAGCCTGGTAGGGACACAGGTCACGCAGAAAAATAGCTTTTGGTTCGTGCGTAATAAAAACTGTGCCATAATATAAAGATGAACGGATCGAACGGGGGTAGATGAATATTCAAAAGGCGCACGCATGTCTCCAAAATATCTGGCTTCATGGCGGATTATTTTCTAACAGGCTCGTTTGGTTGCACAGTAGTTGTATATGATCGTCCTCTAAACCCGCGTCACTCTGCTAGAATGACACATTCAAGTGAGGCAAATTACAGCCACATTTAACCAGCATGGATCTCTATCTCCCTTCATGCATCTCAATCCTCAGAGGCCTAATCCAGCAACAACATGCCATTTAATCGCATGAAGATTGCGTATGGCTGCGCCTCAAAATATGATGGGCTCATAGATTGCGCACATAACAGCAATTACGTCAGGCTTATAAAATCTTATTAGTGCGAATTGGCTCGGCGTTCTCCAGCTCCCACAACTGGCACAAAGCATTTTGATATGGGGCGGTGCAGTGCAGCTGTCCAGCGACAGCAAATTCAAGGAAGAAGAAAAAACGAGAGAGAGAGAGAGAGAGAACAGCAAATGGATGTGTGGCTGCTGCTGTTTAAATTGGATTACATCCTAATTTACAGGCCCTCGTCGTAACGCAGGGGGGCTGGCGGAGGCGTGGACGGACCAATCACACAGTAATGATGATGAATGGGAAATTAATGCGCATACAAGAAAAGACAATTTAAGCCTTCATCTGTTTAAATAGGCTTCCAATATCATTTGGAAACGGAGGTCACGTTAAATCAATCGGGGGACGCGTGAAAGTCGTTTTCGGTTGCGTCTTTATCAACATTATTTACGGTGCACCAGAGACAGCCAGGCTATAAGCAGCAGCAAAATGGACCGGCTGCTGCGTGCGTATGTGACTAACAAGAGCAACAAAAACAGAGCAGGATGGATTCAGTACAAAGAGATGGGCGACTCTCATTATAAAGCATGTTCAAAGCAAGAGGAGAATATGATTCACACAGTTTCTGCACACATTCATTCAGAAATTGTCACCATAGACTTGAAATCAATACAATTAAAGCAAATAAACCCACAATGTTTGTTTTTTGTGTACTATGTGTAAGGATATTCATGCACCATTCCTGTTGGATTGGTTTGTGGTGAAGGGATTCGACAACTTCATATACTTTGACACAATATTTACACAAATACAGTGGCTACACAGCAGGTTTAAACCAAAGTTCATGTTCAGACATTGTGAGTTACGCAAAACTACTCATATGTGGATGTCCACATGCGTAAGGAGGCTCGAGGCCTGCAGGGCAACATATTAGTTTATAGGCCTCCAACCAAAAGCATTAAAACAGTCATTTTGGAGGCCAGGTGGGGGATTAACTCAAACGACTTTCACCTCAATTCAATACATCAATGTAAACTGGGCAGTCAAAGACAAAGAACATGTAATGAACAACAGATTGCGTGCTTACATTGGTTGATGTTGGACTGATCACTGGCGGATGCCACCTGAAATGTTTGAAACCGAGCGCAGCCACTCGTTGCGCTTTAAAGGTAGACTCCCGCTCAGATTGGGAAATACCACACAGGAGGGTCAATGGAAGATAAAATAATAAATATCTGCATTGATCCAAGCTCAAACAGTATATAGACATTGTACATGAATATAAATAGTGAAGTAAAGCTAAAACAATGGATTTGATGCAGTGACACACCAATATAAGAACACAAAACAATTATATATCTGCCTCAATCTCCCCTCCTCGTTAATATGGTTTGATCCTGCAGCTTTTAAGCAGGTGTGTGTACCTGCTTCGAAACCATTGCCCCCTCAGTTTGTTGCAGGTATACATGTAGTGTGTGGGGTTTATGGTCACCATCTTTAACATCATACAGTTAAATTGTTTAGAAATAAAAGTGAAATGTTTCTACCAATGATCAATATAAAGCCAACATATTATATTGTGGAATTTTAACTGTCTTCTTCTTCTTGGATCTTAGTAATCCCTGAGGAACATAGGCTAAGACATGCAGCCATATGTGACTGTATCAATGTTTTGGCTACATCAGGAAGTTCAATCACAGATATCAGTATGAGTTGCTGCTGTTGACAAAGGTTCTGAAATGACAGTGTGGTGTATTAATGATCCTCTGGAATGTTATAAATGGTACTTTGAAAATCAGTATGATGGCCTAGATCACCATTATTGCACTTACAAGAGAAGAAAAATTGTTTTCTCTCCTGTTTATTTTTGTTTCGTTGCGTGGTCACACATTATTTTGCACTGTTCAAGAGGCCTACACTGAAGTTACTTTCTTTCACATCAGTAGTCTTCAATTTTGTCTAGATTGATGCAGTTAGATGCAGATCTTTAACCAGATTATATTTTATTGGAACTGATTCAGGGGGTACAAGAACTTAAAAAAAAAACATTAATTTTAATTTCTGAGTGTCATTTCATTTCCCCTGTGCTCTGAGTGATGCACTTTATCAGAATCAGAATCAGAATCCTTTATTGTCAATGTTCAACATTGTCACCAACATTAAAACAGTGAAAATTGTTTTAGATTGTTGTCGGTTAATTCGTCCCAAGAAAACCCATAGAACAAGATTTCTCATGCATGAATACAGTCAATTATCCCTTTCTGAGGCAGATGTATCGGGTACACATGGTTTTATGGCTTTGTGCAGACAAGTTAAGCAGATCGTGGATGTATCATATATGGTTTGATCATCTTTTGTTTGTACTCAAAATAAGGGTTTAAGGTGTGGACAGGACTGGTTACAGTGTCGCCTCATATGAAACAGCTGTTGTAGTGATAAGTGGTGATGCAGAATCTCCACGAAAACATTTGTATCTTGGTGCTGATAGCTCCGGTTCTGGGACGTAGATCTGTCAGGCTTTTGTCTAGGTGTTGACAAAGTTGTAAAAATTCAAATCGTGCTCCTCATCATGTGTCACAGCACCTCTGTATATGTGGGTTAATCCTAATGCAAATGATGGCTCATGTTTGTGTGTTGTGTTGCTGCAAGTGTTTTCAGACTTTTCAGGTATTTTGTGTTCATTTAGATTTTATTTTCCACAAATTGATTCCACAAATAGATCAGGCCCTGATCTGTGTGCAGACCCAGTCTTTAGATGTCACTGTGTGCACGCCCAGTCTCAAGATGTCACTGTGTGCATGCTCTTGTGATTAATAATACTAAAATCCCCAGTTGGTATGAGTGTATCGTGCTAATTTCTATCACCAGTT